AAGATTTGAATCTATAGATTGTCCTGATATAATGTCTTAAAGAATCATTCCTAGTACTAAAATTCTAAAGTTACAGTAAGAATGGATGGTTACAGTTTATGTATTGAATCACTTTCTCATGGATCGACTAGGATAACATTAAGAAAATGCTTTTAAATTTCTCTTTAGAAATGTGTCTAAAGTTAAACTCAATTTACAAACGTGATACTATAGAAGATTAGTTGAAGAGCATGTGACCAACGTCTTTCTGGGTAAAGGTGAGCGAGTTTCCTTTTGCTTTTGTCTAATGACAGGTTGCAACTTTAACAGTACACAATTCTCTTTACAATTATATAAACCAAAGCTTAATCGCATCAACTGGTCGGTATGCACTTGCTCTCAAGAAACTTAATTAAGATTGTTTAAAGGTTTCATTCATCACATGGTTGATAAAAAAATGATACACAAAAATTATATATATATATATATATATAGACACACACATATAGAATTCGCTGGTTGTGAAGGAATTGAGTCTTGAATCTACACATTTTAAACCATATTTCTTTCTAATAGTTCTTTCATTAATGTTGGTACCAATCATGTCAATGCGCTGAGGAAATAAAATTATCAATTGAACTGAATTGATGCGAGGTACGCCTAAAAATCTACATTTTGAACTAGACGCAGTCAAGCCCAATACTAGCCCAACACAAATTAACTATGGAGCTAACCTTCAGAAACTTAACACTTTGCGAAGAAATCCGAATCACATCCTGTATCTAATTAATGCCATGTTTGGCAAATTCAAAACAAGATTGGGTCAGGATTAGTTTTCCCTTAAGTAGACTAGAGGTGGTCTATGTAGGGGTTTGTTAAAAAAAAAAAAACTTGGTGGTCCATGTAGGAGTTGGTCTAAAAAAAACTTGCTTAAAGGCTAGAATTTCAAGTGAAAAAAGATCAGTTCAAATTTGACGAAAGTTTCGTGAAACAAAATGCTATAAAAAAACTACTTCTTGGACCACACTTGTGTCCATTAAAATTAGTTCTTCGGAGTTTTCAAATACATTTTAAGAATGTGTTTGACAACCACAATATAATTATGCTGCCGAGCCAAAACAGAACCAGTTCTAATGGCCAAATTTAGCCTAATTTTCCTTAGGCCAGCGTTGGCCTAATCTCTTACTAAACACAATTTTTTTAAAAATGAGACTAGGATCAATCCTAGCTTCATTTTGTGGAGTTGTCAAACACACCCCCGGGAGACGGACATCCGTGCAGGACAAGCTATACTTATGCCACATGTGACTGTAAATTGGAGGTTAGATTAATGCAAACTGCACAATATTTATGTGGGAAAGGCTAATGAATGCCAGTGCAAGCCAGTAGTGTAATAGCCAGCTGGTTTGTGACATAAGAGTACTCACATATTACACACGCTCTAAAACCTTAGATCTTAAATAGAGAGGGAAAAAGACCGCACAGGAAATAATAATTAATGGAGTCAACAAGGTCATCTCCATCCATGGATCCGGTCTCAGATCATGAAGCAGCAAGAAGAGAGATCCTCCGGGGCCGAGCACTGATATCACAGCTGAGAGCAACACTGGAGAGATCGTCAAGCGACAGAGATACAGTTGATGTTCTCATGGAAGAGATCTCAAGTTCTTTAACCAGAGCCCTCGATTCTTTGAACTGTAATGAGACTAGAAATCTTGAAGCATCTCTTAACCCTAACCCTAGCCCTAGCCCTAACATCAGCAATCGAGGTCCAAGCGGTAGGAATAGGTGAGTTTTCTCTTTGTTTCTTTGACTGATCATTTATTTTTGTCTAAATTGAAGATATATAAACCCCTAATTTATACCGACAACAGCAGTTAACATCCCTCAACTAGTGGAAGAAAGGGCATTAAATGCTAACAAAGTGATAAATGTTAATTAATGAATATGTAGATGAGAGCGTTATCAGTAATTTACCCTTTGTTTTTAGATCTGAATTTAAACGTACGGTGTATAATAGTTCTTCATCCAAGAGCATTATCGTGCATTACTTTGTTTCCTTTCTTTTTCATACAATAACATTGCATCTTTCCCTGATCATTGCATTGGTTAATTTGTTTCTCAGTGAGAAAATTTACAAACTCAAGATGGAGTTTGCCTCTAAATTACACCCAAATTAACAACTTCCATAGGAGATGATATGTTTAACTTTTTGCTTATTATTATGTGTCCACAAAGTACGTCATATATAATTTAAATCATGTTCGATCTAATTATGTCACCTAATTAATCAAGAACTTTTGGACATGAAAAACCCTAGCTAATTAAGAATCTAAGGGAAACAAATCAAAGAATAGTAAAGTTAGTGCTTTCTTTTATGATATCAAAGAATTATTTCAGTAGTCACAAACTTTATGGTAACAGATTTCATGTTTTTTCCAGGGAAACTGATTAGTCATGTTTATATTTCTCTAACTTAATGGGGAAAATAATTCTTAACAGACCTGTATATATGTAAGAATATGATTCATAGAGCCAATCACCTTAAAAATTTGGGATAAAAGATTAGTATTTTTGTTGTTGACTATAACATTTCCTTTTACTTTTCTTCAAATTCTTTTCAGTAATAAGTACTGTTGTACAATAACGTTATTAGAACAAGAATATTCTTTATAGAAGTACATATATTCAAATATATACACTCTTTTTTGTCTATTAAAGGGTTGTATATCATGGAATCTAATGTACTATCATGAAATCTATAATATATTCTAACACTTGGCGCATTTATGAAACCATGATGTATGTACCTTTAAATTTCCAGCTTCTCTACACTGTATAATTAAATCACTTTTTTTTACCACTGAGTGAGATAATGTCACATGGGGTAATAGTTGTTCATCACAGATGTATGTATTTACAACTGTATAGGTTGGTCTAACAAACTACGTACACAGGTACACTTTTTTGTTTTACAGAGTTTTCACTTCTTTGCTTTTTACACAATATTCTTTTCCTGTTTTTTCATATGCATACATATTTTATCCTTAATTTGGAAGAATTTTGATGTTCAATACTATCAAAAAGTAATGAAGAGTATGCCAGTGTACTCTTTGGTTATAGTTGTCTATTATTTAATAAATGGTTGTGATTCATTCTAAATTGTAACACTTACTCTTATTGCGCTCAACTCAAGACAGATCACACAAGTCAAGTAAATAATATACATTTGGAATAAGAATTTGTTCTCTCCGCTACATTTTAGAAGTGGTTGAGAGGATGTTATGCTTTTACACTTGATTTATGAATTTCACATTTTCTTGAAATATTAATGAGTTTTTAAGTATAATTAGTCTCTCAAGCCATAATTGTTTTGGGTGCTCAAGTTATTGCGAGGCAGGTAATAATGTTGCATACTTTGATTATTTTAATTGTATGGTCAACTTTACTTCAGTGCCTTAGTGCTAAAAATCATCTTAATGCTCATTTGATTTTCTGAAACACATAAAAGAGTTTCGGATCTTCTTTTAGTTTAGTATCTATATTTTTCATTGTAATGGCTAACTGCCATGGATTCAAAATAGACTGCATGCGGTAGTTCCTTACAACTAATATTCAATATTAGTCATTTAATTTTAAAATCAATAACTAGTACAAAAATGTTTAATTATAGCTATGTGCTAAAGGTTCAATCGTGGTTTAATTTAGGGACTAAAGTCTGTTCTGCTAAAAGAAATAGTATGTGCCGGTGAAATGGATCATATAAGCCTGTGTATTCATTTAAGTTGCTATCTTATTATACAAGTTCTTATTTCCATGAGTTTTCTTTGCTATGCTTGTGCATATAGTTTGCCTATTTTATACGAACGAGACCAGAACTTTAAAACCAACTTCACCTTTTGATACAGGTAAAATGTAAAATTCATACAACAAATTACATTTTCTGACTAATATTTCCTTTTGGAAAATAATAATAATAATAATAATACCTTTTTTAGAGATGAATACGTGCAGCGGATCATTTGTACTAAACCTGATGAAGATGGTCAAGCATGGAATAAATACGGGCAGAAAACTATTGCTAGTTCTTCATATCCAAGGTATGTAAATTTATTTTCAGGGTATAGTATTTTCAATTTAAGCATAATATGTACTCAACCAACCTTTATTTGAAATTTGTTTTTCCAAGTATGTTATTTCTTTATGACCTTTCACACACACACACATATAAAAGATTGTTTGTGAAATGTTTTAAGATTATACTACAAATTTGTATCCTCTTTCATTTGTTGGGTAAATAAACCAAACTTGATCATTACAGTAAACTAATTAATCCCTAGATCGATGACAAACCTATATGTATGTATTTATATGTAAAATGAACACAATCGAGCACACACACCGTAAAAAAGGCACACGTATATATATATATATATATATATATATATTATATATATAATATATAATTTATATATATATATATATATATATATATATTATATATATATATATATATATATATATATATATTATATATATATATATATATATATATATAATATATATATAATATATATATATATATATATATATATATATATTATATATGCTGATGGCCAAAGCTTTGTAATATTTCTCTACAACATGAAGTTCGTTTCATTCGCCAATTCATAAAGTGTTATTCACCTTTATAGATAGTATGCATATTATACATCTTGATCTATACAACATGAAACTTTTAATGAAGAATCAACTATATATATATTATATACTACTATTATATACTATATCATATATGCATGGCCAAAGCTTTGTAATATTTCTCTACAAATGAAGTTTGTTTTCATCTGCCAAATCATAAAGTGTTATTCACCTATATAGATAGTATGCATCATTTATACATCTTGATCTATACAACATGAAACTTTTAATGAAGAATAAGCTTATGAGTTCTCAAAGTTTCTGTTGGAAATTTATCAAATAAATAAAGATTATAGCATGAATTTAAACCCGGAAATTAAATAAATAATACATCAAAGATAGATAATATAAATTAGAGAAACATGCCTGACGGGAGCAGTCGTGCAAACACTGCCCTAGAAGATTGAGGACCCGCCTATCGCCCTGGCGCAGATGATCCCTTCTCCCCTAGCGGTAAAACCCCCCGGAAACGGCCCGGCCTCTGCACTCGGGCGAGAGTGCAGAGCTTCAGCTCAGATGAAGAAGTTGCCCATAAAGTAAAACTAAAGTATAGATGAAAATGATATGTAGAGGAGAAAAGAAAACAAGATAAGTTTTTCACATTTTTCTTCATTTTTCTTGAGCTCAACATATGTTGTTTATATAGGGGTTGAAAAGAGCCGTTACAAAATCCCTCAATAAATTTCGTAACGTTCGTCATAATGTATAGTCATTATGCCCATTTTAATTACAAATTAAAACACATTAAAACATATTTTAATTGCATATTTTAATTACAAAAATTTATTAGAATTCATTAAGGCAAAATTGCATTTTCTTTAAAAATATCCAACACAAAAGGGGGTCGACAAGTTCCCTTTTTCGAGTCGACATGAAGAAACGTCGAGTCGTCGAGTCAACGGAATGGTCGTCCCTTACTGGTCCCTGGCTGCCAAGTTTATTGGGGCATAGAATGTAGCACACTTGTCCGTTGTTTGACAATGAGTTTGTACTCTAATCGTATGAGAATAACATAACAATTAGTTAAACATAAATTCGCCCAAATAGTCTTTTTAGACTAGTCAGCACACATGCACCTTTAATGTATCTGCTTTGCACTCATATATCTTCTATTAGTTTTGGCAACACTTATATGCTAACATCACATATGTTTTTTACCTTCTTTTTCTGTTAAATTCACCGTGTTTAAGATGTCCGATTCTATTTTAGAATAGAAATCAGAATCGAATAAATAAAGGTAAAACACTAAATTCCCAATTAGATTCACGAGAAACAATTTTAATCGCTAATTAGTAATTACCGGAAAATTTTAACCCAATTAGATTCATGTAAAAATCTCGAAAAGCAAAGGACCCAGTTAGATTCGTACTCCCGCCCATTCCCGCTTGAATTATTAGTCGCCAGCTCACCGATCCCCGCCCTCAAAGCTAGCGTTCACATCACCTAACCAATCACGTCCGTCAATTTCCGATAAAACCGACGGCCACGGATCGCCCACCTCACCGATCCGCGGCCCACCCCCATCACCCAATCAAACATCATCCCCCCACCCCCCCTTATAAATACGATTCCTCACCCGTTGGTCATCTCATCACAGCAGCGGAGAGGAAAAACTTCACCATAGTCTATGTCTGAAGAGATTGACCTTAATATCTGAACATTTCAAACTAATGTGGAACTAAAAATTCTGCAGTTATGCATATGCACATACATGAATGAAATTAATAATAGATACATGCAGAGCATAATAGGATTTCGTATCTTAAAAATATTTTCGTAGCTTAAAATATATTTCATACTTCATAATTCAAATGCATAAAATTTTTAAAATTAATCTATTATAAGAGGTTACAAATTGGTTGCCTACAAAGGAGACCGTCCAAATTTAAATCGGCTGCCTACAAATGAGACCTTCCAAATTTAAATTGGTTGTCTACAAAAGAGACCTTCCAAATTTATGTTTCCATTTTCTAGTACCACCTCTTATACAAATAATAATAATAATAATATTTGTACATACGTGCTTTAAATTTTACAAGTGTATTCTTGCATAAAACCTTGTAATTAATCATGTAACAAATGCAAGTTATCCAAAAGACATATGAACATTTTATTGCAATATCCATCATAACGCAATAAAAGAGATGAACTTTACATTTGAAGATTTGAAATATAATCCACCATATAAAATAAAATTTTTTAAAAAAATGCACCTCTTTGATTTGGTTCGCTTATATATTGATCATTTATCATTAGGCAATATATGATGCAAGAAGCGTAATTAAATAAATGCATATGAATTGTTCTCATAATTCCGGTCCTCTTATTCCAAACCAAAACTCCTAAAGTGAAAAGATTAAAGTTTTACCCGGGTAGTTAGCCAGGTAAGGATAGTAATAGAGGTTGATCAAAGATCAATTAAGTACCTCGTTCCTTGCAGAGCGCGTTACGCAACCCTTAAACCTTGCCTTAGACACCAACTAATCCAAGAAAACTTGAATCGGTTCACTCAATGAGTTTTTGTTCCTTAACAGTATATAGAAACTTTAAATTATTTCCTGCAATCATTTAAATTGCCTAGCAATTATACTGCAAACATATGATGGATAAGGCCGAGGAGGGGTTTACCTATTGATGTTCGAACCTCATGATTTTCATGTCTTGAGAGTAAAACTCATCTGCTGCAGACAGCTGCCACTTAAGTTGCTGAACAAATCTGCATTCACTTTTACCACCTTCTGTACTAAGCTTATTAGATGTATAAGCACTTCAAAGTATGGAATTATTAATAATAGAAGGTACCATATTCATAGTTTAAAGAAATGAAAGCATTAAACCATAAACAAAACAATCCAGATATTTCAAAGCATCTATGCATCCAGAGTTTGTTCTCTTTATTCTTGTCAAAACCATGCATATGAAATTTTTTAAGAATAAAAATATACACTGCTGCAAATTTATAGCATTTTTCAAATGCGTGCATATTCACTAACACAAGGGAATAAGGGTAGGTTTTAGATGATTCTAACAAATATAAACTAGGCTTTTAGAAACCAATAAAGGTTCTTTGATATTCGTAACTTACAATAATTATTGATTATAAACCAACTATAAGACAAATGTAATTAACTGTTAAATTGAATTAAAAGAAATATTTAACTACAATTTTTTTTAATTATTAAATTTTTTTTAAATAACCAAAACTGTTTACATGAACAGTAAATTTTTAAATAAAATGAACAGTGCCGTTTTCAAAATAAATGAACAGTAACATCATTTTTAAAATTAAACAGTAACGTTATTTTTTTTAAGAATGAACAGTAACAACATTTTTATAAATGAGCATTAACATTCTTAAAAATAAATAAATAGTAACGTTCTTTTAAAAATGAACAGTAACGTTCATTAAAATGAATGAACAGTAACACCAATTTTTTTAAAAGATGAACAGTAACGTTCATTAAAAATAAATGAACGGTAAAATTTTTTTTTTAAACATTAAAAATTGTTTTAAATGAACAGTAATGTTTTTTTTAAAATAAAATTAAAAACTGTTTTTTTTTATGAACAGTACAATCTTTATTTTTGGAATGAACAGTAACAGTTACAATTTTTTTTTTCAAATTTTATAACATCGAATCAATAATACTAATAGATAAACAAATATAATTATAGTTAACAACAACTATAAAATTCCCTCTGTTTTTTTTTTTAGGTAAACAGTAACAAAAACTTTTTTTTTTAAACAAAAAGTTAATTAATAGATAAGCAATTTAGTAGCAATTTTATTATTAATTTTTTTTAAATTCGGATGAACAGTAACCATCTCGAATGAACAGTAACTGTAAAAATTATTTTTCCGGATTTAAATCAAAAGCTATAAACATCTCAATCTTCTAGATTGTTGGAAATTTATCAAATAAATAAAGATTATAGCATGAATTTAAACCCGGAAATTAAATAAATAATACATCAAAGATAGATAATATAAATTAGAGAAACAGGCCTGACGGGAGCAGTCGTGCAAACACTGCTCTAGAAGATTGAGGACCCGCCTATCGCCCTGGCGCAGATGATCCCTTCTCTCCTAGCGGTAAAAACCCCCGGAAACGGCCCGGCCTCTGCACTCGGGCGAGAGTGCAGAGCTTCAGCTCAGATGAAGAAGTTGCCCATAAAGTAAAACTAAAGTATAGATGAAAATGATATGTAGAGGAGAAAAGAAAACAAGATAAGTTTTCCACATTTTTCTTCATTTTTCTTGAGCTCAACATATGTTGTTTATATAGGGGTTGAAAAGAGCCGTTACAAAATCCCTCAATAAATTTCGTAACGTTCGTCATAATGTATAGTCATTATGCCCATTTTAATTACAAATTAAAACACATTAAAACATATTTTA